GTGGGTGGGTGGGAAGAGGGTCCTTGAATGTGGTGGTTGGGAACCAGCACCCGGAATGGGGTCAGGAGGAATGAGCTCCACCCTTATTCTACCCTCAACAGTCAGGTAATGTGGGGAGAGGGCTGTAGAGGTCATGAGGCACTTGGTAGCACTGGATAATGAAGTCATAGCCAGATGTGAGGGCCCACTCGGGGACCCTGTGGTTTCACTTCAGCCTGAGCAGTGCCACCAGTTCGCACCTGAGAGTTGTGAGTCGTGGCAACCATCCTGTCTCCTAGAGCCCGGCCTGCCCTTCCTGGGTGCCCGTGGAGGGCATCAGTCTCAGCCCAGGGTCCCGGGCACTTGGTAGCACTGGATAATGAAGTCATAGCCAGATGTGAGGGCCCACTCGGGGACCCTGTGGTTTCACTTCAGCCTGAGCAGTGCCACCAGTTCGCACCTGAGAGTTGTGAGTCGTGGCAACCGTCCTGTCTCCTAGAACCCGGCCTGCCCTCCCTGGGTGCCCGTGGAGGGCATCAGGCTCAGCCCAGGGTCCCACCCTGGGCATGGCCAGTTTGCCCTCAGCCTTGGCCCCTATACAGTATTGTGTATTTGTTCAGGAAATAGGATAGGATGTACCTGGGGTTTTTCCTAGATGTTCAAATATATATATTTTTTTCTTTATTGCACATATAACAGTTTGAATGATCTTCCTACCAAGCTGAGGCAGGACTGGCCCTCCCTGGGACCAGACCGACCCAGCCCTGTAAGACCAGAATGACCACGTGTATGGCTCCTCCCCTGAACCATCATCCCCGGGGCCCGTGGTCCACAATTCAACACGTTTCTGACTGGAATTCATGCCGTTTTAGTCTTTTACATGTTGTGGGTTTGAAGAATACTCGGGAGAAAGGAAAACACAGAGACCCCACACAGAAGGACTGGCTGGCAGCCAGAGGAGGGCGAGGCCTTGCAGGGCAGCCCAGGATGAAGATGGGGCAGGGGGTGTTGCCAAAGCGAGTGAGAAGTCACCAGAGAGTCGTCCTACCTTGGCCAAGACCTTGCCTGAGGCTGGCCTTGCTGCCAGGAATAAACAACCAGACACTCAAACTCTGCCAGGCCTCGACCCTGCAAAAAACAGACATGAGGACCAGAAAGTCTTATAGGTGACCTTTTACAAATTATTAAAGAACAGAGCACTGTTTAATGTGAATTGTTCCTGGCCTCATTTTGTGGAGTTAAAATGAACTTGATAAGTTAGTGTGAGGGCTTTAGAGGTTGAGAGAACTTGCTGGGCGTGGATGTGGGCACTTGAGTTCAGCTGTATTTGCTCTGCAGAGTAATTGACCTCGCCACTCTCTCTCCACGCAGACTTACTTCCTCTGGGTCTCTGCTAAGGACTGTGTTCACGTCCACCTGGACCTGACCCGGTGAGTGCCTGCCCACCGCTCACGGCCCTGCGGCATGCCCGTGCTCACCTTGCCTGAGAGATGAGGGCTGCCAGCCTGGGCCTGGGGCCTCTTTCTGTCCCTTAGGCAGCCTGATTTCCATTCCCATCACCCCGTGCAGTGGTGTGTGTGTGTGTGTGTGTGTGTGTGTGTGTGTGTTTGTGCGGATGCGCACCTGCATGGCTTTGGTGGGATAGGCTGTGCAGTGCACTAAATGTTCTTTTTCCCAGGAGAGGGAGCAGGGTGGCCTGAGCCCCTGGGTACCGCCCCCCACCCGCCCCCAGCATCCCTGCATCCCCGCCAGGCTGTTTCTTCCAAACTCAGCTTCCTGTTCACACAGGGGCCTGGCTGCTTCCTTGTGTCTCACCGCCACCTCCCACTGTAGCTCCCAAGATGAGCCAAAGGGTCTCACTGGCCTCTTTGCTCTCCCTCCCCAAACAGGTGTGGCCTCATGTTCACACTCACCACCAACCTGGCCAACTGGATGGCGGCCGTGGTGGATGAATCCGTGCACCAGGCCTACTCCCACAGCAATGCCAGCCACGCCCGCCTGGCTGCCGACCGTGAGTGCCACGCCAGATGCCCCCTGGCCCTGTGACCCTGGGCCTCGGGCTGGGGGCTTTGTTGGCTTGCAGAGTGGACCTCTGCGCCCTCCCAGGAGAGCTACCTCCTGCTCCAGGCTCTGGCCCTGATGCTGACCTGTGGGCGTAGGTGACACGGGAGGGCCCTTCTCACCCTGGAGCACACAGCCTTGGTCCCACGGTCCGGGTCCCCATTCCACTAAAGAAGGGGCTCGGGCTCCCAGAAGAAAGGGCAAGGGCGATGTGGCTGGAGGGAGGGAAGGGAGCAGAGTGTCTTGATGGCAGAAGCAGGGATCAGATGGAGAGCCCGGCAAGGAGAAGCTAGAAATACAGTCACGATGGCAATGGTGGCCGTCCACTGGGCTCTGCATGCCAGGCACCGTGCCAAGTGTGTGAAACCTCATGGTACTTAGCCCTCACAGCTCCCTGTGAGATGGGTAGCATCAATATTCCCATTTTCCAGGCGAAGAAACTAAGGCACAGCGAGGTTGTACAGCTTGCCCAAGGTTACAGGGCTTGAAATCCGGCAACTAGTGTTCAGATCCACCTTTGCTTTTAACCAAAATGCCATCCCGAGGAAAAATGGGGTACTGTCCCCCTGGTCCTTCCTACTTCTCGGGACTTCTCTAGGGCCCCCCAGTAGTCAGGACCAGACTAGATGACTAAGTCCATCTGGACTTCGCCTGGAGACACAGGCACCCCCACCCCTCAGTGTGGGAGAGTCCAGGAAGGGAAAGCGTGGGGCCAGCCTCCCCCCTCCCCCCTGTGAGACGCCCAGCCCAGCAAGACCGACAAAGGGCCACCTTTTACACACAGGGGTTCCTGAGGGTGGCAAAAACCAACCTGGGGAGGCAGCTAATGGAATGTGCTGGGGCTGCGGGGGCACAGAGCGGCACACCGGAGAGGTACCAGCCCAGACCAGGCTCAGAGTCAGGTCATGTGCGTCAGCTCTGCCATCACAGGTCACTTTGCCTCCGTGCGCCTCAGCTTCTCCATCTGCAAAACCAGCTGGCACAGCGCCAGGGACCAAAAGAGATGTTTGCCAAGGCCCAAGGCACCCTACACAGCATGGGATAGGTGCAGGACAAGGTCCCTTTCAGTGTGGTCCAGCCCAGGTGACCGGGGGCAGGGCCCAGACCTAGGCCCAGCAGCTGGCTTTCCGGGCTGCGTCAGATGCTGGGGAGAGCTCAGAGGAAGCTGGAACTTTAGGGGTTTCCAAGAGGACCACCTTCTACAAGACCAGAACCTCGATGACATCAGGCAGCCAGGGGTCATTCCTGGGGGCGCAGATGGACAGGGTTTTCCTGAAGGAATGGGGTGAAGTGGGCAGCTTTGCAGCTCAGTGTTTTGTTTTTTTAAACTGAGCACTGGCTATTGTTTGCCGATGTGTCCCGCAGTCTCAGGCACACAGTAGGTGCTCAATAAACACGTGTGGGATGAATGAACATGCCAAGCCCAGCGTGGGCGTTTGGGCTACGGTAGTGAATGTGGCAGAGCGAGAGGTCACAGTCTAGGGGTGAGGCTAATCAGATGGGGCCCCTCCAGGAAGAGGGGTGGGCGGTACAGCTCTGTGCCCGTCTCCCCCAGCAGAGCGAGTGGGCAGCCAGGCCGGAGGCGACTGCGCCTGCGCCACGACCGTCTGCCAGATCTTCGAGCGGGGCTACTTCTACCTGTACCCCTTCAACATCGAGTACAGCCTCTTCGCTTCCACCATGCTCTACGTCATGTGGAAGAACGTGGGCAGGCTGCTGGCCTCCTCCACCCACGGCCACGGCCACGGCCACACCCATTCCCGGGGCAGCCTCTTCCGGGAGACATTCTTTGTGGGCCCCGTCCTGGGCCTGATGCTCCTCCTGGTGGGGCTGGCCGTCTTCATCATCTATGAGGTCCAAGTGAGTGGGGACGGGGACCACACCCAGCAGGCCCTGGTCATCTACTACAGCTTCAACATCGCCTGCCTGGGGCTCATGACCTTGGTCAGCCTGAGCGGCTCGGTCATCTACCGTTTTGACCACCGGGCCATGGACCACCATAAGAACCCCACACGCACCCTGGACGTGGCCCTGCTGATGGGCGCCGCCCTGGGCCAGTACGCCATCTCCTATTACTCTATCGTCGCTGTGGTGGTGGGGGTGCCCAGGGACACGCTGGGGGCGCTCAACCTCGCCCACGCATTGCTCATGATCGCCCAGCACACCTTCCAGAACGTGTTTATCATTGAGAGCCTCCACCGGGGCCCGCCGGGGGCTGAGCCCCACGACGCCCCTCCCAAGGAACCCTGCCTTACCTTCACCAACCCGGACGCCCTCCACGCTTTGCCAAGCTGCCCACCCACCCCCAGGTCGGTGAGCCCCGGCCTGGTGGGCCCTCAGGAAGCCACGGCCATCATCCTGGCTCCCCGGGCCCACTGGAGACGCCGATGCCTGAAGGACATTTCTCTGTTTCTTCTGCTCTGCAACATCATCGTGAGTACCTGAGGGTGAGGGGGGCAGGAAGGAGGTTCTTTCAGGGTTAGTCTCTTGGCCCCTCTGTCTTGGCCCCAGCCTACTCGAGAATCTATGTCTGTCTAGGGAAGGAGTAGGTTCCGAGAGGGTCAGGTGCAGCCGGGCAAACAGCATCTCAGCACCCAGAGGACCGAGTCGTGGCATTCCGGCACCAGGCAGCCACCACAGGAGCCGGAAGGGTCCCAGGGAATGCTGGGGAGGGAGGGGAGAGGGAGCAGGGCCGAGGGGAGAGGGAGCTGTGAGAACTGATGTGGGTAGCCTCACCCTCAGGTGGGAGGTGTGACTGCTCCTGGGAGCTCATGACCAGCCTGCTGCTTAGAATATCTAGGGCAGCGGCAGGAAGCAGCGGAGGGCAGTGTAAGTGTGAGCAGTCGATTAGCAGCAGCGGGCTGGCCCGGAAGGGGGGCACCCACAACAGCACCCCTTCCCCAGTGATTCAGCAAAGCCCCGGACTAAGAGAGACTCCTCTGGACCCCAACACAAATATGCGCCATGCATGGAAACCCTCCTCACAAGGCTGCACCCCACTAGAGGGGCCCCCCTAATGTAGCTACCACCCCACCGCACAGACCTAATCCCAGGGGAAACCTCTGACACAGAAACACGCGCCCATGTGAGTACTTCCCAGAGACACACCTAGAGAAATTTCACTCGCTATGAATATAGTCCTTCCAGCTCTATCACCTTCCATAGAAAACAATGCTCGTAATATAGAAATAGCCTTGATGTGGGTTTATCAACGTAAAACATCTCCAGAGAGATTCCACCCCATGAAAAACACCAACCATCCATCCTAACTGGGGTGTGTCTTAGTGAA